TGGACCTCTCGGAAGACTCGGTTTTTGTCGGATTTCAAAACAAAAGTCTGCACCAAACTGTATCATACCAAGATGACGGCTGGTGTCCAGGACCGTGACGTTTTCAGATGAATATAAATACACATAGTAACTTTTTTACGTCTTCGTTACTGTGCAGGTGAGTAGTTGCAATTTGCGCTCTTATAAATGTATTTTTTGCATTATCCTTATACATTTTTTTTAATATTATTGATTGTGAAATTAGCTGACCGTTCATATAATCTTAGACGTTTTGTATAAATAGCGATCGAAACGCTTTGTTTCTTTTATATCTGTGCTTGATGTCATATACAAGCTTATACCCCTCAGCCTGGTCAGACAGAACGTTTTGCTTCCTTTCTACACCTTTACTCGACCATTATATCGTATTTTGTGTAAATAAGCAGTAATTATTTTTTTTCTTTACAACAAAATAACGGGTATTACGGTTACCTTCGGTTTCGTCACCTGTAAAGATTATAATTTTATTAAGCCGAAGACAGGCATTGTAGCTGTGCTAGACGTGTTCTGCTGGCTGGTATGTAGTACTGTATTAGGTACGCTGTCTGTTTCATTGTTTATAAACTTGTGTTGTCTCACAAATCCGACAATGCTGTGCTTATGCACGGTTTGGATTTTACCTTTAACAAGCTTATTACGTATTAGTTCTTGCGTCCCATAGGGACTTGATCTCACCCCCTCTATTGCATATATTAGCCTTGTCGAGTATTACTCCTTAGTCTGTACTCGCCTCTGAAGATGTGAATTAGTACACGAAAGCGCTTGGGAACTTCGTGTTTTCTTGTTTCCTTGTGGTTATCAATGGATCACGCGCACCTACAGTGATTTACTTGCATGTATATATATATATATATATATATATATATATATATATATATATATATATATATATATATATATACACAAGGAAAAAACACGAAGTTCCTAAGCGCTGTGTACTAATTCAATCTTCAGGATGAGTACAGACTGTACTCACCGGATATATATATATATATATATATATATATATATATATATATATATATATATATATATATATATATGTATGATATATATATATATATATATATATATATATATATATATATATATATATATATATATATATATATATATATATATATATATATATTTATGTAAATCATAATGAAAACGTGGATAAGATAAATCTTGATAAAATCACACGGAAAACAACGGAGTACCTTAGGATATATATATATATATATATATATATATATATATATATATATATATATATATATAATATATATATATATATATATATATATAATATATATATATATATAATATATATAATTTCCTTGTATGTGAAAATTTTTAGTAAAATACAGGGAATTGTCTTCGTATAGGAGTGTTTAGAAAGTAAAGCTAGAGGTTTTAGAGCCCTACGTGAGGTAAGACACACATGACAGGCTTCCACTGGAGTTAACACTGACACCTTTTCAAATAAATCCCCTGCCAGAATCTTACTCACGCAGTCCTGTGTCACAATGGGTCATACGGAGGATGCACGATTGCTTGCTTATAATACAGTATTGTTATCGTGTATGTTTACAGAAACTGCTCAAAACTTTTAAGCGATACTTAAAAGTGTATTTATGACAATATCCCCACACAAAGTGAAAAACAAATCCAATACCGGTCTTTATGGAGGATTACCCTTGGAGGTGACTTGACTGATGGGTTTTGGAAGTAGTCAACCAGCGAAAGATTAGTTGGACTGCAAGAAGACGTGTACAAGGCAGGCTCTTTCAAGGGACAGTGTGGCTTATAACAGGAAGACTCCGACTTCATCCTGTTCTGTTTATTTGACCTTAATAGCTTTGAGAATATATATCCGTAATAAATTGAAATCAGCACTTGTTTATTTTAAGCCATCAATTTGTGAGAAGGTTGGAAATGATGTGTTAAAAAGCCGCAGGCAACAGACATCTCGAAATGAGTACCGGGGGCATGGAAACCACCCATTGTACCCATATTGAGCAGGTTGTACTTAAGTTTGCTTTTGCCCTAAATACACTTTAATTGTACATTGGTTTTCTAATTAAGATGGAGGACATGATTTGGGGGAGACTTTATTACGTTGGTATTTTTCCCATTTCTCAATAACGTTTCGCAACAAAATTCTGTTGAATTAGTATTGTTTCTTGGGATAATTTTGGCTGTAAAATTGGTTTGTTGGACTTGGGTAACGAATACTTTTAAGGCAAAGCCTACTTGTGATAACTTGGAGTGCTCAAAAGTGTCATAACTAATGAAGTCACTGTAGGTTCTCACAGTGAGCAAAATTACTACATTTGTGTTGAGTGTACAGTATTACTTCTCCTGCCTCGGACAAACGTTGTGGGGCTTTGTCTTCTAGATAATCTACTTGTGGGGGGGCCAACACGGCAAGTAGTGACGTCGCACTAACTTATTTATACTGTATTGGGTAAAGAAGAGAGGAAACATCACTAAAGAGGTCATACAAATGTACACTGACATTTGCTGTGTTACTGTATGCACAGGTCATTGTATGGGGGTAACTCATGATGATCCTAAATTGAAAGTTTGTTGGTGATTAATTGTTCACATATTGGAAATCCAGGGTATTATGAGTGCATAATGAAGATAAATGTAATTTATTAATAAATATTCAGATACCGATAATGTATTTTTGCATTGCCAATTCTTATATTACCTGCACTTACAAAGGAGACATTAACCTTTTTGTTAAGTACAATACAGTACACAATATGTATATCTTTTCAACTTTTCAACATACTGTACTTTGTGGTATACAGATAGCACAGATCTCTGTACATGGTAGATAACTGAGAAAGTTGGGTTTCTGGGGGATAAATTTAATTATTTAATGATTAAAACTATGATTTGACAAACAGAAAACAAGTTACTGACACTGTACAGAAAATTTAACAATTGTGAGAACGTGTTACTGTACAGTACAGTACTTGGATTCTTTAGACTAGATGGTACACATGTGTTTATCATATTTGTATGTGTTCTTTCTTGATAATTACCTGCACCAATATACTGTACAAAGTAGAATAATCTGTATCGTAGCAGTGCCCTCTATATGTCAGGGGCAGCCTATAAGTGGTACAATGAGGTGCAACAAATAATGATTTGATCTTGGTTACTTATATACTGACCACATGGCATCTTCTTGTGGTTTCTTAGTAAATTAGCAGAAAATTAGGGAATGACCCCAAAAAAAGTTGTTTGACAAATAAATGGTGGTAATGAAGGAAAGTGTGCGAGAAAGACGATTTAACAGAGTACCAGGGAATTGTTTCAAATAAATAATTTAAAACACTGTTCTGTACTATGACAAGTGATATTCTTAAGCTGATAAATACTACTACTGTAAATGGTTTAGATTCTTTTGTCACAGACCAAATTGATAGATTATCAGAATGGTTTTGTGAACTCTTGGAACACTCTGCCAGACTTGACGAACACTGAAGCTGGTTCAGATACATTCAGGAACCAGTACTTGCCAACAGTGCACAAGAGAGATGTGACTGATCGCCCAAGCGGCTAACGAGCCGATAAATGGCGAAGAGGGTAAAAGGCAAAAAAAATTACTGCCAAAACACAAGAAATGAATGCAGTAGTTTATATATCTACAGTACTGTAGTGGATGATGTTAGTGAGCTAAGATTGTACTTGGTAGAGTTAAATAATCATGGACTGTATTGTACCGTACCGTACTGTACTGTACTGTACTGTATTAGTAATATGCCTTGTTTGCATTACTGTATAACAGTTTGCATTAAATGTGTACCTTCCTCCAGATTAAAGAAGTAACTCATCTAAAGTCTGCTTAATTTGGTGATGTAGTACAAGGTATTTATTATATTTTTTTCTATTCGAGAACCCGTGATGATTATTATACAGATATTTTAGGAACCTAAAAAGAAGTAAAATCTGATCATTTCAAAGAACTTTTACATTTCTCACGATGATATGATCAAAAAAATTTCCTACAGATTTTTAGGGTTCTTGTTTATTGCACATTCTAAAGTATTGTATAGTAATCATTCAGGGTTCTCGAATAAAAAAAATGATCTTATATATAACAACAAAACTCACAAGTCCATGTCGAAATTCTCTCACATGGGATAAGAAAATGCACCTGGTTACAATCTAATTTTTCTGCAGCATTAATGTAATTTTCTTACCTTGTTCTTTTATTTTTCTGCTGAAGTTAAATTGTATGAACATTTATCATACAGAGCTATAAGTACCCAAGTTCACTATGGTTATCCAGCATCATTTACTCTTTTAAATAAATAGGTCAGTGTCTTGGAATTTAAATCATTTACAATTATCATTTTTGCTAAGTGTTAATAAGTGTACACAGCTTATTCCTGCTTCCACCCACCCCTGGCCTGTCCCTGCCTCCACCATCCACTCCTTTATTCTCCTTCATCTTTACGCCACACCTTTCGTTCTTTCCTTTCTACATCCTACAAATAAAAACACTCCCTCCAGTGCCAGCTCTGTCACAGTTAATAATACCCCTGTAATACTATAATACTGTCGCTGGTCTTTTGTTTCTCTAAAGTGCCAAGAACTTCTAAAGAATTCACTAGCACTTGAAACACTTCAAAGACAAGAATAAAAAGTAATACTGTACCCTGCAATGTACTACAATAAAAGATCACAAAAAGTGGCAGTTCTACTTCTACCATTCATATACCCTGTACCACCATACCTTGTTCTGGATCACAAGCTTTTAAAAAGAAGGGGGAGGGGGGGGGGGTTGTTTCTTGAAGGCCTCCAGAGAAGTCAGCCGCTTCATGGATGCAGGTAACTGGTTGTAAGAACTATTTGGGATTAACTTAATGTGGATTTTAATGTTTTTTCTGGTACTGTCTTGTTTGATATTGCTTATATTTTATTGTAATTACTTTTTATTCTTTTGTTGTTTGCAGGCTTGCAGCGCTACAGAAGAGTGGAGAAGATGGCTGGAAGAACCGTGTTAAGAAAGAGAGCAAAGATGTCAACTCCAATGTCACACTCAGACCTAAGGTAAATATTTATGTTTTAATTTTTATCACTTGAAGCATTGAAAAAGGAGTGCTTATATGAAATGCATTGTTTCCTTAGATGCATTTTATTATTTATCTTAATTTTATGAAATGTAATGTACCATACAGTACTTGCAACTGAAAAATATTGTTATTCTTTAGCCTGCAGGAAATATACGGGAAAGACCCGTTAGTCTCATGGAAAGGATGTCTGCTCTGGAGACATCATCACAGCAGTGGCGAGGTCGTATCACACATTCTGATGCCACAAAGTTCACTGTGGCACATAAGATGGCTTCATCATCTACATCATCAGTCCCATCGGTTGTCAGTGGGACTAGTCCACTCATCACTGTGACCCCAGAACAACTGTCCACTCCCACAGGAAGTCCTCTTATAGAGCGTAAAAAGAGGTCACCATGCCAGAAAGTCTTCAAAAGCAAGACTGGAGGAAACCTTCCATCACTGCTAAATAAATCTAGCCCATTAACTCCACGAAAGGACTTCAGACGTAGTATTTCCACACCAAATGATGGAGAAAAGAAAGGTAAGAACTAAATTAAGAGGTTTGTTAAATTACTGAGATCGTCAGTTGCATCACATGCAGGTTATTTATTTCTTCAATGCTCGAATCAAAATGAGAAAATTAAACTTATGGTACAGTACAGTACTCTGGACTGAATTTAAAGATTTTCATAATCTCAAATACAGGTATTGTACAGTATTTGTATGAAACTTAACATCATTTTCCTATCCAACCTTTCCAGGTGAAACCCCAGAAGGTACAAGTGTATCTGTACCTCGGGCTGATGATGAATCATTTAATGCCTTCTTTAGTCGCACCTCCTACGACCCATCACAACTGCCAGAAATTGAACTACCAACCTTAGAAGATGCAGATTTTGACCATATCTCTGAAACTGTATCCCAGCTGTGAGTACTGTCTACATAACATTCTCAAAGTAAATCTGTCACTCCTGTTTATTGTGAACTTGCCTTTATTTAAATGGAGTTGCACATTAATACAGTACAAAATATATTTTTAGAAATCCGCACAAGGTTTGATACCTAGACTGGTTGTAGCTTCAGTAAAGTTCCATTGTACGTTTGTGTCTATACAATCCACAGCTGCAGACCTTGGTGTAAACCATTTAGAGGTCTGTGTTCTAGGGGTGTTGAGGGTAAGGTGAAGACCTCAGCCAATTCAAGTAAAGCTATGATGGTGGAAGAAGAGAAGGACAGTGATGTAGACTTGGTGACCAGAGTGGCAACAGGCCTCTTAAAGGACTGCATCATTTTTCTTTGTCAAATAGCCAAGAATCTTCTATTTTCCATTCGTCTTTAGCTGCACAATGGATGAAGTCATGAGTTGGTGAACTTTGTTCCAAGATTGGATAACAGTTTTTGTCATGCAGTGATCTGATGGATTTCACCAAAGCCATATACAGTATAATTTTGTCAAGATTTCTGGTCTTGATGGAAGTGTTTAATTATCAAGAAATACTAAATGAAATTTCTTGAGTACCCCTTACAATATAGATCACATAAAAACCAACAGCAGTAATTCACACATGAACACACAAATACAGTATTCATTACACAGCAAAGCTGGTCAAGTCAGTACAGTATTCTGCTACAATAAATTAAGTCACTCATATAACATGCCCTCTTAATGATGATCTGTAGCAACTGGGTCACTTTGTCCTATGTCATTTTATCAAATGATGTCATCTTGCAATAGTTCAGATGTGGTACTAATGTGTCTTTAGTGTTACAACTCCTAATACTACATTGTGGTCTAAAATCCTGTGGTCTCTATATCCCAATCTCATCCATAAACCATGTTTAATATATTTTATTTTATTTTTGTTGCTGCTCATCTCCACTTGACCACCCATTTCTTTATTCTTCTTTCTGTACACTTGTTTCTATCCTAGCAAAGGAAACCCACAGATAGGATACACTGAAAATACTGTACAATGAAAATAAAAATACAAATCCTTATATAGTATAGTATTGTGTACTGTACCTGTATTGCAAATACCTAATCAAGAGTTGATTGCAATTGCTGTAGTTCAGACCTTGTTGCAAGCATAACCCTTGAAAATAAGGCATCAGCTGCCACTTCAAGCCAATTGGTAAAGAATCTTGCCACCACACCAACCATGTGCTCATCACCCTCTTTTTACTCGATTACAAACTGTTATTTCATAAAGTCAACCCACAGTCAAGCCACCTTTGCAAACTGAACAATTGCCCTCCTACTTATCTTCACCTCTTGTTGAGAAATAGGGCAATCTCTCTTCCATTTAAGCACTTTGTAGGGATTTGGGTTAGCCATACAGTCCTAAACATTAATACAGTAATGGATGATTTATAATCATATTTTAAGACTACTATGTATACTGTAGTTTCATTTGCCAAACAATTTACAGTATTTGCTGGGTGCATGGGCCCTATTGATGCAAAACTCATTTAGTGGCAGCTGATATCTACAAGACTGCATTTTTAAGGGTTATGATAACAATGGGAAGGTTTGAATTAATTTAATTTAGTTGCTACAGGTACTATAATTGTCAAGGAACTTAGGTTTTTAACATGTAGTCTTTGCTTTGTAATATATCATCTAAACTTGATTTTAGAATTAATTTCATCTTACATATTTTATATTTGTTTTCCCAATTACTGTTCTATTAATTTTTATTTAATAAGTGCATATCATTGCCAGGATAACTGAATACTGAAAGTGCACCATTGGACGTACAGTATTTGGTGTACCGTATAAGAATAGAATATTGTACAGGTATAGGAGTTTTGGGCATTTGGAAAGAATGGATTAAAAGGGGAGGGAGAAGAGGAAGGAGCTTACACATTAGATGGAAGGATTGAGTTTACAATAGAGGTTGTGGATATTAAGGATGTAATTTTGTAGAAATGTGTAGTTATGCAGGAAAAGGATAACTATACATGGAGAAGACACAAAGTTGAATACTGTAGTGAGAAATAACATATTGGATATAGATACACTAGATATTGCATATGAAATAGTCATTTATTTGGGTGTAGATCATTAGAAAAACATTTGAAGCAATCAGTTTTAGGTATATATATTTTTTTAGAGCCAGAAATTTTGCAGTTATGATCATCACTCCTAACATGATGGGAAGAAGGAGTTTAAAGATTTACTGCACTGCTCTGCGCTTAACGTATATGAAAACAGGCAAAAAAAAAAAGGTTTTGTCATGTATTCATTATATCTGTCTTTTAATGTTACCAACTTGCTCTTTTAATACATTTCTGTTATTTTTCATAAGAATATTTAGGGCTAAGCATGTTTACATAATACACTATTCTGCCTCTAAATTTAGTCTGCTTGATATGTTTATTATTTTCTTTATGCTGTATAGTCTTATTTGATACAGTACAATTGCAATACAATTATTATTCACAGCACAAGAGTTTATGCTAACTCTATTTCTCTCATGCCTCAGTAGACAGCTGGAGGATGATGACTTGTAAGTGACCAAGATGTTTTATAGTTACTGCACGTGATGAATTCTGCTTGTAGGCTTTAGGATCAGATTTCTTTCCTAGTCTTGTATTTTTTTATATTGATTGTTCAGTTTTGTGTAATGACAAAAGTCTTAAACTAGTTAAAATATTTCACTGGTTTAATACTATTCTAAGAGTATATTTTGTGGGATGGGTTACAAAATGTGAGGGACAACTGAGGTGATTAAGAGGATGGATGCTGTAATGGAGAGATAAGTTAAGTAGATTTATGAAGAAGACTGTACATGAATCTCCCACCATGCTCTACTTTGGCACAAAGTACAGTATATAACATATACTTTGAGTGTCCCAAGAGCTGTATAAGTCCTTCATACTGATATTTGTGGCAAAATGTATATATATATATATTTTTTTTTTTATAATATCTAAAGGAATATGCACTACTGTACGTGTACCGAACAGTTATAAGATTATGTGTCTTTTTAAGCGTTAACATTTACAGTAACTTAAGAATATTTTTGTCTAGTTTAGACTGAATAATGACAAAAGATATGAATCTTCAGTGTGGTAAAGCGGCGCAGTGTACGTGTAACTCGTCGTCAAGTGGCATCACGTAATCCGCTGAAAGCTCTGGCTGCTCGTGAAGATCTCAAGTCAGAATACACTGAAGTCAAGATGGGTGTTGGTGAAAGGGAGTTACGGAGGATGAAGGTGGAAGAACGTGAGTAACTAATTGCCATATTATTTTTAATTTAAATACTGTACATTCTCTGTGTACTCAACTTGTTTTCAATAATTACTTTTGTGTAAATGTAGGTTTTTTTTTTACTTTTATAGAACAAAATACTGGGTATGCTGTACTGTTTTTTATCCAACATTATTATTAAGTATATTTGTAAATATATATATATTTTTTTTCTCAGTTTCCAAAGGCTCACCAATGGCAGTTGAAGCACTAGCAGGATTGGCCTCGAGGGAAAATTTCTCGGCTGTTGCTCTAAAGAAAGTTGAAAGCACACCTGTAGTACGAGAAATGGCTCCCTACACCTCCCTAATGCTTCTGCAAGTCAAAGGCCGGCGTCATGCTCAAACGCGATTAGTTGAACCTAAAGTGACCAGTGTTAACCAGGGAGATGACTTCATCCTAATAACACCCACAGATGTAGGTGGCATTTGATTTAATTGTAAAGTAAATTGTTGGCATTAATAGCTGTTAGATATTGACCACGTTACTCTAGTGTTTTGACTTTGTCATAGTGATACCAAGTCCACAGAATTAAACACTATATAGGGATATGGCATTTTGAATAATAGGAAACAGTCCCTCTGTAATATGGTTTTCTGTTTCACAAGAAACTCGTTAGGGAACTTATTTTCATGTAACTTGTTGGGATGCTTTAAGTATCACAGACTGTGGCAGACATGTGAAGCTAGCACAACAATTCCCTGAGTTATGAAAATTTCAGCACTAACTTTGGACATTTTGGCCATGATCACAGCATGCCATCTTAATTTTAATTATTGTACTTATAGGGTTTTGAATTCATATATGAAAGCAAGAACAAAATTATGTGAATTAAATAAATTTTCTTTTAGTATAAGTGAATATCACATAAAGTGAAGTAGGTGTAGCAGTATTTATCTTCTATAATTATCCATACATCAAATTAAAATTTGTGCTCAGTGGGCTACCACATGTTTTTGTTTTTAATACCTTCTTATTCAGTGACTTTTAAGTTTTCCCAAATCTCGCTGCATGGTACATGATATTGCACTGTATATACCAACTGAACTAAAAATAATAACTTACAAACAGTTGTAGTACTCATCAATTTTCCTTATTTCAAGAAAATTAACTGGCATTTATAACTCGGTGAAATGTGATTGTAATCATTGTACTCCTGTTCAGTACTGACACTTTTCCTCCTCACAGGTATATCATTACAAGGGTGAGTTTGCCAATGTCATTGAAAGAGCCAAAGCTGCTGAGATTGCCCAGTACATCTTGCAGAAGAAAGATATGGGCATTACTTCATCAAAAAATCTTATTGAACTTGATGAAAATTCTCCAAGTGGAAGAAAATCAAAATTCTGGAAGCTACTTGGTAAGCAGAATACAGTAGTAGTTTACTCAGTGTACTGTATTGATACTATAATGTATCTAAGCTGAGCTGTTAATGTACAAAGAAATTTTGAAGTATGTAAGATTGGTAGTGCTACCGTACCTGTCCTGCTATTGAAAATAATTATTAATCATTATGTAGTATTGATTTTATAATTTTCATTAACACCTTGACTTAGAATGGCTAGAGTTGCATCTGTAAAAGTTCTCTTTATTAGTTTTCTAAAAAATATATATATATATATATACAGGTATATATATATATATATATATATATATATATATATATATATATATATATATATATATATATATATATATATATATATATATATACATATATATATATATATATATATATATATATATACACACACACACACTCTGTATATACTGTATATAAAATATATCCTCTTAATGTAGGTACAATAGCCTGAGTCTCCTCCATTTCCTTACTATTTGACCAAATTAGGTTTTTGTATGGCTTCTTTTCAAAGCACATTATAATACTAATAAAAGCCTTGAAATATTTAAATAAGTTATATTAACTGAAAACTTCTGCTGTTCTTTTTTTTACTATAGTAAAAAACTGTTTGGTGATGTACAATAATAGACTCCCACCCTACAAAAATTAGACATTGTTGTAAACACAAATCAAATATACCTGTAGTACAATATCTATGTACAGTAGTTTGTTAACACACACATCAAGTATACCTGTAGTACAATATCTATGTACAGTAGTTTGTTAACACACACATCAAGTATACCTGTAGTACAATATCTATGTACAGTAGTTTGTTAACACACATCAAGTATACCTGTAGTACAATATCTATGTACAGTAGTTTGTTAACACACATCAAGTATACCTGTAGTACAATATCTATGTACAGTAGTTTGTTAACACACACATCAAGTATACCTGTAGTACAATATCTATGTACAGTAGTTTGTTAACACACATCAAGTATACCTGTAGTACAATATCTATGTACAGTAGTTTGTTAACACACATCATAGTATACCTGTAGTACAATATCTATGTACAGTAGTTTGTTAACACACATCAAGTATACCTGTAGTACAATATCTATGTACAGTATATCTATGTACAGTAGTTTGTTAACACACATCAAGTACAATATCCTGTAGTACAATATCTATGTACAGTAGTTTGTTAACACACATCAAGTATACCTGTAGTACAATATCTATGTACAGTAGTTTGTTAACACACATCAAGTATACCTGTAGTACAATATCTATGTACAGTAGTTTGTTAACACACATCAAGTATACCTGTAGTACAATATCTATGTACAGTAGTTTGTTAACACACATCAAGTATACCTGTAGTACAATATCTATGTACAGTAGTTTGTTAACACACATCAAGTATACCTGTAGTACAATATCTATGTACAGTAGTGTTTTTTGTGTTAATACTAAGATCAAATGCCGTCTAAACACTACCTTGTTGATAAATCAGGTGGTGATGAAACAAGTGAAGCTGTATTAGGGGGCACACCTGATGAGGATGAATATGTGGAGGCTGCACTGGTGGCTGCCAACAAAATCTATGAGGTCCAGGACGACTCACTTGTGCCAATTCCTGATTCCTGGGGACAAATGCCGAAAATAGAACTTCTTTCATCTGATAAGGTGGGTATTTCTGGAATACATCTTGCTCTTACGACAGTAATTAAAGAATTATTTGTTTCATAAGATTTATAATTTTTTTAAATAATTTCCATAGCTTTTCCCCCAGCTTCAGAGAAATATATTTTGTTAATATTTCCACAGGTTTTAGTGTTTGACTTTGGCCCCGAGTTGTACATATGGGCAGGTAAGCGTGCCTGTGGTGATGAACGAAAAGTTGGAGTGGTATTAGGTCGAGAATTATGGGAAGAACACTATGATTACTCTGAGTGTGACATCAATCCCATTACACCTATGACTCCAATTTCAAAAGCAAAGATGAAAGGTAAGTTTGGTTTGTAATTTACTGGAACAAAGATTTTGCACCTAGTAATATAAAAATAAATGCCTTCTACGGGTATTTATTTTAATTCAATTTAATTCTGCTTATTACCACATTTACAGGTACTCGACCAGAATGGGGCCTGTGTGCCAAGCTCACAGAAAATGTTGAAACGATTCTCTTCAAAGAAAAATTTATAGACTGGCCTGATCTAGCACAGCAGTCAAGAATTAAGGTAAAATTGTGATTGTTTATATACCATTATTTTATGAGAAAAAAAATCATTAATTATTGTAAAATTATTGAAGATATTAACTTCAAGACTATATCTGTTCAAAGCAACTGGCATGTTATCAAACTAGATAGTGGCATCTGCAACTAATTCCATGTTTAATTGTATTGTACCTTCAGCCATATCACTAGATAAGTTGATATTGTCTTTATTTTATGGCTTTCCTGGGTTTGAGCACTGCAGACTTGGTTGAATAATATGCAAACCTCTTAATCTAGACTCGGTTGTGGAATAGTGATTTCCAAGATCAATCCCCAGTTTTTGTTGAAATGATGTTATTACAATATGCTGTACTGTACAGTAGTACAGGTACTGCTTATTTAACCTTAATTAATAACATTATTTTTCTTTTGTGAATCAGGAGGTGAAAAAGGAGCTTGATCGCCATGTAGCTCCTGTTTGTGAACTACAACCCTGTGATGCCAAAATGATGCTGGAAGATTTGCCACTAGAACCTGACCTGGTGCTGGAAATGAGCCACTTGGGTCGTGGGGTGGAATACTACGATGAGGAGGTGCGCTAGTAGTGATGATGGCTTGTGGTAGCAGACTGGTCATGCACCATGCTGCTTAGTTCTCCTTCATGTTGTTTATGTGTACTCTGCACTCAACTCTATTGACTCTGTATCAGTCATCTCCTAGTTAAACTACAGTTCTTGTGGACTTCTCTATGCACACTCTGAAGACCTTCCTGTGCCTTGTTGATTTTGGCTTAGACTCGTCCCCACTGTTGAACAGTGGTTTATAGTGTCTTCATCAGCCACTGCTAGTCAGTGGCCAACCGCCTGTAGATAGCAAGAGGGGCCTTCCATACCACCATGTAGCTGTAGTGTACGTGTATGGGCCAACACCATCCTATATATTCTCCATGGTGTATCTTGCTCCTGACAGCAAGACTCATTCTGTGCTGACTACACACGTTACTCCCCGAGACCCTAGACAACTTTACTAGGTTCCGTGTGGAGTTCATACGTGACTGCTCTTTGCATATCCACCCCAGTTTCCCTTCTACAACCCTTCCATCTGGTGACCTGTGCTTGGGTGCCTTGTAGAGAATTGTAGTCCCTCTTTATATACAGTATCCCTTAATGACTTTTTTCTAAGGTTTATATGTTTTTTATTTATATTTTACTCATTAGTCTGCACCCTCTCTTAATGATATTTATTTTCTCTTCCATCTGTCCCTTCTGCCCTTTCTTTAAATCCTTTTTATTACTAAATACATATCCAACCTTTAACAGATAGAGCTCTATTATCTTTGTCAATCATCAGTTTTTGCTTGTTTACTCAGTACTCACAATGAAGTATATTTTTTTTATTGGCATACTAATTATTTTTAATGTTTATATTAGATTTTCTTAATTTGTTTTGTGTACCATTCCAAGTGACCTTGAATGTTTGCCCCTGATATCCTGGCTAACCGTCCCTTACTCCCCTCCCTGTCCCCTTCAACACTCACCCGGGTCGCCTCAATCTGCTGCTGGTAACAACGCTGACTGCATCAACAATCCAATGCCGCTAACTTCATGCTGTTCATCAATCGACCATCTTCATATATCAACATTGATGGACGACACTCTAACTTCTGCTTTGTGTACTTTACAAAATTGCGTGTGCTGCTTTCACAACTTAAGGAGCGACGCCTCTTGAGCATCTCAACGAATGACTTCAAGGTCTGGCATGTGTCAGAATATGGCAAAGTGCTAATGGATGTAACCTTGCAAAGGCACCTGTATGCTGGTGATACATACGTTGTGCGCTGGTATTACCTGGTCACAGCCACCGGCAGAACTCTAAAGGTGGGTCACTCATTTACATTTATTACTATTACTATTTTAGTTATCATAGTTATAGTTATTCTAGTATTTCTGTGCATTTTACATGGAAAAGGTGATATTTAGTAAAATAAAAAAAAGTTTTCAATGGCTGAGAAGAATTATAATATGTATTTGGTAAAAAATTAGTGAAACATCAATAAAACCCCCCAGGCATCTGGTACAGTACAATTTGCCCAATTCTTTGGTTATTTGGTAATACTGAAATACAGACTTTTAATTTATTTCTCTGTCAGGTTTAGTCTAATACTGTTACTTTTATATTATAAAAGAATACAGTATAAAATACATTATTCATTATTTTGCAGGGCGAGCCATCAAAGCACAATGTAACGGGTAGAACGCGAGTTGCCTATTTCTTCTGGCAGGGGCGAGAGAGCTCTGTGTCAGATAAAGGTGTGTCTGCTCTTATGACTGTAGAATTAGATGAAGAACGTGGCCCTCATGTACGAGTCTCTATGGGATTGGAACCACCAGCTTTCCTTAACCTATTTCAAGGAGGCCTTGTGGTACACCAGGGACGGCAGGAAGATGACCACACACACAAACACTGGAAATTATTTATAGTCAGAGGAGAGAATGAAAATGAAGGACATTTAGTGGAGATTGAAGTGAGTTCAACACACTTGAGGTCCCGAGGTTGCCTAATATTAGCCGATATACAAGCAGGTGTCATCCACTTATGGCATGGTGCCAAGTCTTTGAAACACACACGCAAGGTAACTAGTGAAATTTTACATCATATTTTCTTGTAAATTTATTTTTCATATGTTGTATACTATACTAATATTAATGAAAATTTTTGATTGTCCAGCTAACCCATACAAGCATGGAAAATGGACATAAAACATTGATGATGTCACTGAATATTCTTTTTATGATAGGTTGCCAACGTGACAGCCCAGAAGCTCTCTGAAACCACAAATGTTGAAATGGGTTGGGAAGAGGATACCACAATAAAGATCAAGGAACAGTTTGAGGGCGCTGAATCTCGAGATTTTTGGGAAGGTTTTGGTGGCTCATCCTCCAAAAACAAACATTTTTCACTCCTTGAAGACGACCATTCATATGATTTTACACCACGTATATGGCATTTAGAACCTACCCATGACTCATTCCAAGCCACAGAGGTGATCTGCAGCTACCGGGCCACATCCTTACCAAACCCACTACCTGTCTTGCAGCTTGACCTGTACTCTGTACCACAGCCAGGTAAGATCTGGAATTAATTTACATTCAGCATTACACATTAGATACTAAAAATTTTTTTTTTATTGAGCATTGGCTTCTCACTGTAATTACTCTAGAGAATAAATGTTAAACTTTGATTGAAATGCATACGTTTGTCTTTGAAGGATTACCGGTAGTAATTTCTTTAAATACACACACATACTAAAACTTCTCTTCTTTGTAGTATTACAGTAAGGACATATTAACTCTCTTGTGGTCTTTTGGCGCAAATTGCGTTACTGAGTGCTCCCGTGCTGGCACAACCCCTCCTGCTCAGCCATATCTCACACGGAGTGCACCTCTCCCATAAGCAAAAACACAGAAACAGTGGACCAGTCCACTCATCCAGCTTCTTTGGCTGGCAGATGCATCTCTAAAGGTACAATTTGGGTCTTGATCGCTCTACCCAATGTTTACTAAAATGAAAAATCATTCTTGTTACCGACGCAATCTGCGTCGAAAGACCGCAAGGGGGTTGAGATTTCCAACCATGACCAAGAGTATCAGAAGGTTAATCAAATTAAATTTGCATTTTGATATAGCACTATTTATGGTGGATGGTGGTCACCAAGTGTGGGTGTGGCAAGGTTGGTGGCCTGATGAGACTTCAGAAGGAGAGGACTTCAGTGCAACAGGTTCTGCTGTGTTACGCTTCAACTTTGCTCGCCGTGCTGGTTTACAAACAGCACTGAACTACTGCAAGACCAAGGCCAAAAGTCAAGCTAAGGCATTGGCAGCAAGAAGTTATAAAAAGGTATTAGATGGAGTCTTAATTGAGGGGTTGGTTGTTTGGATTTGGTTGCCCATGGAAACTCAACTATGACTATCTGTCACAGATGCTTCATTTGTCTGGCTACTTTTTTATGGCGGCACCATCTAACAATTTGCAACACATTCACTAATTCCAGACAGTCCATTGAAGAGTGCCATATTCCTATTCTATAATTCTTATTACCCTTTCTATTCCTCCCTGTCTTGAGGCTTCCCCACTTTTTCCTCCTGGTATAATCCTTTAAATATTGTAAGCCATTTTTAACAAGTTTATACCAAATATGACAGCATGGAGATGAAAATTATGCAGGATGTAAAGTTAATAGAATTTTGAGGTTAAATATGTGAATGGTTTATTATTATTATTTATTTATTTATTTATTTATTTGTTTACACTCAGATCGAGGTCAAAGTTGAAGTGGTTGAACCTCAGCTTGTGGTTGCAGGGCTGGAGCCACTAGAATTCACCAACACATTTCCCACGTGGACACCTAGACCTGATGTCACCGCCATCCAAGAAAAGGTGATTATATATTATTAATTGTACATATAATTTCTTTTCAAGTACCTACTGTACCTACCATATGTTATTAATTATTGCAGGTGCACAGGGACTTCCTGATAGCCCTGTACAGTACGGTGCTGTAGTTGTGATTATGTCTAAACTTTTTTTTTTCATTCATAATCATGTTTGGTAATAACAATAATAAAAGATTGAAAATAATGTAATGAAGAACTGCACGGATGATGTGTGAATGGTTCACAATGTCCAAACACATGGTTCTTGAAAAACATGTAATGCTTTAAAAAAAAAAAAAAAGCAATTTTGTCTCAAATTAATATGCAGTAAAATTTAATAATAACCAAGAAACTGAGATGAGCAATACTGTATATAATATACAGTAAAGCAAAGACATGCAGTATTTAATATTGTGCTAGAGAGGTTACTTAGCACATGAAGTGAACATCACAGGGTTTCAGAATAGTGAGCCTAAAGAGTAGGGTTGGCCTGGCAGATGAACATATTTAAATTTTTTGCATACAGATATATACAGTAATAGAGAACTCGGGTGTAGTGCAAATAAATAAAAGGGGAATCTTTAATTTCTAAAAAGCTCAGAAATGCTCCATGACAACCTGAAAGCTAGAAATACGGAGCAGTATGGAATAATCTTGCCCTGATACCAAATAACACTTTTCCAGTAATTCTCTTTGCCTATTGCTAGCTTACAAGCCAGTCAAGTAGTCAGTCAGTTCACTGTTACATGCTGTTTTTAAGTACTGTATTAGGCATGTAGAGACTCTTGACTTTACCAGATGTGTTTGTAAAGCCTGAACTTAAAGGACCTCACACTTAGTGCTGTCACAACATTCTCTTACAGGTTATTCTAAGCATTAGTCTCACTCCAAGGTTGTGACCTCAAACAGGGTGCCCCTCTACTAATTCCCGATATTGTATATACAGTACATTTAACTGAGTAGTGTCTTTGAGATGCTTATAAATCTTTGTTGAATTACTGCTTGTGCCTTTCTCTAGTATAAACTAGGAATTTGTAAGTTTCCTAGTGTCTTAATAACTGAGGTTTCTGAGTACTGGTACTTGTTAGTTATCCCTTCTTTGGACATTTTCAAATCAAATGGCAGTCTTTGTTATATCTCAGTAGACAAAGCAGAACCGTCATACTCCACAAGTTAACTCCACCAGGACTTATGTGCAGTTCTCACTTTCAGAGACTTCATCCTTGCACATCCTTATGCTTCCTTGATTTGCTCTTCACTTTAGTTACTGGTTTATAGTATACCTCCCATCCCTGTTTACTCTCAAGCTGTTTCTGTTTCCAAATCACATGTTCTTGTTTCCTTTCTCCCCCTCTTCTTTATTTCACATCTGTTACAGAACTTTCAGAAATATTGCTATTTTATGACACATACGAAATCATTAAAACTTAAAATCACTCTTAGATATCCTGCCTTTCACTTTATCTTTCACTATTTTACTTCTAATTATACATTTCACATTCCCATCTCTTATTCCCTTAACACACTGACTTGAGAGCACCCACATATCTTATTGTATCAAAAAAATTCATTTTTTTTTCTTAAGTTTTAATGTGAAGAAGAGCTAGAATAAGGTTAGATACTGTTGGGTTTGTTTACCTTATGCAAATTGTTTACTATTGAGGTTAATTTCTTAGGGAAAAATGAGGATGATGGGGGTCCACTAAAATGGAATGGTGATTGATGCCAGTAAAACTGCTGTGACAGACCTGAACGAAATGGTGAGGTGCACAATAGGTGATATGACATACTCATTCAGGTCTCCTCCCTCTACTGTTCATGAGGAAAAGCTTACTCTTAGTCTCCCTTTCATTATGAGGGTTGCATCAGTATATAAACTGATGATAAAATCAGTTCCAGCTTCTAATACTGTATCATGACTTTTGAGTCTAGGCCAAGGGTTTTAGCACTGTGCTGATACTCAACACTGCTCACAGGGTAGTTCTCATCTCATTTATGACAGAATTTCATGACCCCCCCCAATATATTTATTTTATTAATTCTTATTTATTTTTCACTTATTTGGTGTAGTAGGCTCTCGCCAATAACGTTTAATAGGTGCCTGAAAAACGCCATTATTAACGAAAACGTTATTTGTGTGACATTAATATACATGTAAAAAGAGTTTATTGGTGCCGCTGCCCCAAGAATTTCACCCAATTTTTCCCCTTAGAAGCTCTCCTAACACTTTTTGTTCGCAGAAATAAAAAGAATTGTTATTCAATCATCAAAATAAAGAGTGAGTAATATAACACTTATCTTGGAGTTTTTGAGGTGCTTGGTATGATGATTGTTCTGTATCTGAGGGCCGCTAAGACTTGCACTGTCTTTCATTCTACAAGCTAACCATTTCACAAGCAAATGCTCTGTTATCACTAACAACCTGTTTCTATCACTTTTATCATTCATAGCTCGCCTCGCATTTCCATCACTACCGAAATATTTCTTAGCCAGCGCAATACTCTTCTTGGTCTCCTCTAAGTTCCTCTTAATATTTAGCACTGTAGACTCAGGACAGTTCAATTTCCTCACAATATCAATGTTCCATGCACCACCTTCAAAGAGCTCAACAATCTGTTCTTTATCCTTGACCGAGTAGGCACGCTTCTTGTGGCTTTGTCTCTTAGCTTTGGGATCTTTTTTCTCATTCACTTTAAAAGTTCCCGGGCATTCAGACGGCAAACCACTCCCTCCACCACCTCCCCTAACCCCCACAGGCAAAAATGCAGAAGCCATTATTGATCACCGACCCTAGCAACCACTGGTTATAGAGGTGAAAATCTCATACTTGGGCGCAGTGCTGTATTCCACGGAGCGTGTGTGAGAGTGGGGTGGAGTGGACAACATGGCAGCAAACAAACGCTATCATTGATGCGCTCGGACGCTTCCCGCAAAATCTCCGTTATTCAAGAGAATCCAGACGTTCTTATCGAAAATGGGTATCTATTGTAACTTACCGTTATTGTCGAAAACATTATGGTGGAAGTCGTTATTGGCGAGAGCCTACATTTGAGAATTTACATTCTTCTTTTTTTTTTCTCCAGCAGAAGACAATTTCTTGGATGTGTAGATGGGTACTGAGGTAGTATGTTACATATTTGCTAGGCAGCTTTAAACAAATGACTATTACATTCAGTAAGAAGAAAGTTGTGATAGACACAGGCTCACATTCTTCTATGATATGCATACACCCACTTACATCTCGGTGATAAAATGCCACATACATTAATTTTAATGATTCACAACAACTTATAAAAATTGGTAAACTACAAAACAAATGCTCATATTTATTATATAATGAAAAGTATTATTCATGTTTCCAAGATAAGGAAATGTTGACATAGATTTTAACAGATTTTATTTTTTTTTTGGCATAATTTCACTACAGAAAGGTTAATTTTGTTTAGTTTTATGAATAGCACAGTCTTTCAGACTGATATGCAGATATAACCCAAAGACTACATACAAGCACAAGCCATCAGCATTTAACTTAAATGAAACAGTGTACTGTATGTTTATGTATGTAGTTTGATACAACACTTGGTGATAAATTGAATGAAATTACAGAGAATAGAAATGTTTAAACAAAAAAAGAACAGACCCAGTGTCACTGAATCTGATCTAATCTATCAATTTTAAGAGTTTACAGACCATTACAGTATATGGCATAAATCAGTGCACTCTGTGGGTGTGTGTAAAAAATAAATAACATAAATTTGCCAAGGTTTTTAGATGCCATACAACCAAATTTCTTATACATATACAATATACCTTTCACTATTGTTCCACATTTTGCTTTAACATAAGGTTTATCACCCTACTCAAGACTTTTTTGTCATGTTAGATAGTGGTTATCTTACAGTTTTCATGATTTTAAAGATACTTTTAAACATCATTGAATAACCAGGAACTGTACCACTATTGAGTTGAACCCATAACTTTGCATGTAATGTCAATAAAAATACCAAAGCTTTGAATAGAATTTCACTCTGGTACAGTTATAAGACAATGCCTTTAAAAAATAACCTAAAAAGGTTTGTTTTGCTCAGATCAGAGAATTTTATATCATACTAACTGAAGACATCCTAGGTTCTCAGACACCTTCTCACCTTGTATTTTCTACTCTGTATGAAACAAGGTAATTTAGACATTTTTTATTTTATAAATTATATTAAATTTTTCTCACCACTGGTTTGTGTTTTTTAGCTTGTGATTTTTATTGTTATTATTTATTATAATTCTGTATTCTAGGACTTGGTTGAAGATTTCCTTCCATAGTTTTAATATACCTTAATGTCAACATTTTCAAGTACCATACTGTGTCACTGTTTCTGAAATGTTAAATCTCACTGATTATCATATTAAGTACTGTACAGTATGCAGTAATAAAATTACTTGGTACACGAAGCAACTGCATCATCACCTGCAAAGTAAACCAGACTGTGGAGAGAGAATCCGTATGGGGGAGTAGAAGATATGCTACTGCTCTCCTGTAAGGATACTCTTACTACAGTCTAGGAAAATCAACACGACCGACCACAACTGTTTACAAAGAGAAACCTCGCAAGTTGATTGAAGCAAAGTGGATAACTGCTGTGTTTATTATTTTATAGTCTGATGAAAAAATCATATTGTTTTCAGCTCTATCCATTCTCATTATTATATATATTTTTTTTAAATTTTGCACATGATCTATAAAATTATGAAATTATTTTTAATATTACCAGAAACTTTCTATGTACTGTACTTGTGATTTGCTCTGTTTGCATGATAGAGTACTGTATAGCCATACAATTTATTTTATGTGATTTGCTCTGTTTGCATGATAGAATACTGTATAGCCATACAATTTATTTTATACATTTGTGTAGTGATAAGTAAAGAGTAACAATTATATCCTGTTGCCTTACCACTAGGCAACACAGTGCTTTATGCACACCGCATCTGGGTCCTGACCCAGGAGAC